CAGCCCATTCTGATCAAGGGTGCCTTTGCCGACTGTCCTTGGCATCAATGTGAAGCTGGCCCTGTTCCTTCCCTGCTGGAGCCAGGCCACTGAGGGCTGGGCTCCAGCTGCTCCTCCCAGCCCCTGGGTCCTGCACAGACTCACAGCAGACACACATTTTCCACTGCTGCCTGTCCTCCCACCCAGTTACTGGGCAGGGGCCGAGTAACTTCCCAGCGTGGGGTGGGGGCGATGACTTCACAGCATATGATTCGTCATGTGTCCCCCAGCCCATGTGTTCATTCCAGTTCTTTAAGTCAGAAGTACTCCTGCTTTTCATAGGGCTCACATTCCCAGATTTCTGGGGACAAAGTTTCTGCTCATTTTCCTGCTGAATTTCTAGGGAAAACCCTTTTCTTCTGCTGTCAGTATTTTCTCTCTACCAGAGTGTTCCTTCTCCTCATCACAACCCGACAGGGCAGGGAAGAACTGCCCATCAGGTTTCCAAGGCTGTCACGTTTACAGAAGCAGACGACCACATCTTTCTCCCATGGAGCAGCTGCTGGATCCCAGCTGTCAACCTTTTGGTCAGCAGCCCCACACCTAACTACAGAGATCAAGGCCTACAACCATTTCCTGGGCTATGAAATTACAGCTGCTAAGATCTATAAAAGAAAGAAATGAATGGAAAGCCCAAAATTGAGGATTTCCCAGGCCCACTTTCCCATGCCACTCCATATGTCAGAGAGACAAATCCCTGGGCTACTACTGCTAACAGCCTCAATGTGTCCCTCCCTATTGCAGGGCATGCTGGGAACTGGGACAGCCACTTGGCTACTTACCAACTTAGGGTAACTTAAGGTGGAGCAGATAGATGAATGTTGTTGTTAAGTGCCATTGAGTTGGTTCCAACCTATAGTGACCCTGTATAGGATTTCTGAGGAGTGGCTGGTGAGCTTGGACTGCCGACCTTGCAGTTCAAACCAACCTTGCAATCCAGTGAATTAACCCACAGTGCCACACCAGGACTCCTAGATGAATAGTAAGTGGCAAAAAAATTTTTTTAAGGAACAAGGATGTTACAAGAGCCTACACAAGAGTCAGGCCTGGCCTTTGTTACCCACAGCATGTCTTGCTTCATTTGCTTAGGCCCAAAAGAAACCATAAGATACCTTTTGTTGTTGTTAAGCGGCTTCAAGTCAGATCCGACTCATAGCAACCCTGTATAGGGTTTCCAAGGAGCAGTTGGTGAGTTTGAACCACTGACCTTGTGGTTCAAATCAACTTGTCCAGTGTTTTAACCCACAGTGCCCCACCAGGACTCCATGATATCTTTTAGTGAGTACAAAATTCATAGATTGGATGATGGCATACCTAATGTCCCGCGAGGAGAAACACGGGACTCATTCACCCCGTTTGTCAACAGTGGGGACAGTGCTAACTTTCAGTGAAGTGCAGGAGGCAGCAATGAGTCTGCTTTGTGAATGAAGTAGGGTGGCCAGTTATCCCAGTGACCCTAGTGAATAGTTAGTGAAGAAGAATCTGGACAGAGACCCTGAGACAGGAGCATGCTTAGTACATTCAAAGAAAGGCAGGAAGTCTGGCTTGACTGGATCCCAGTGAACAGGTGGTCCTGGTGTGGCTTAATGTGCTGGACATAACTGTGGGTTAATGTGCTGCACTGCAAAGTTGGTTTGAACTGCAAGGTCGGCAGTTCAAGGTCACCAGCCACTCCTTGAAAACCCTATACAGAGTCACAGTTGGGTTGGAACCAACTCAATGGCACTTAACAACAACAACCATAGAGGACTAGAAAGCTCATACAGGGCCTGACAGGGCACTGGAACTTTTTTTTAATTTTAACTTTTTATTGTGAATTCAGTGAAGGTTCACAGAGCAGATCATCAGTTTTACATTCAACAAATCATATATTGTTTCATTATTTTTTTTTTTTTACTGTTTTATTTTTATTTGAGTGAAAATATAGAGAGCCAATTAGTGTTCCCATGTCAAGTTCTTTGGTGTCCAGTTTCACCCCAAGTAAAAGCCACCAGAGGGTTTTGAAGAGATGAGTGTTATGTGCTGCATTGGGTGATTTTTTAAAGTCTGTGTTGAAAACAGACTCTCAGAGCATGAGGGTGGAAGCAGGGAGACCGTTGAGGATACTGTTGCCATCATCCAAGTGAGAGATGAAAATGGCTCAGGCCAGAATGATAGCAGTGAAGTGACGGGATTCTAGATGGCTTATGGAGGCTGACAGGGCCTCCTGACTACCTAGATGCAGGGGATAAGAGAGAGAGGAACCAAAGATGATTACAAGATATTGATATGGGAGCAGGTGCCCCTTCTTCTTGTTCCCTCAGGTAGGATGCAAGGGTAGATTGTTACATTAGGCCTTGCATTAGCCTTCATTAGGCTGCTGGGAAGTCCTTTCTGATGGTCTCTAATATCTGGTGTCCTGGTTTGCCTTCATAATTATCCACTTTGATGTTGTTAAGTGCCGTCAAGTCAGTTCCGACTCATAGTGTCCCTGCATAGGATTTCCAAGGAGCAGCTGGTGGGTTTGAACCATCAACCTTACACTTAGCAGTCCAGTGGATATTTTATAGCACCACACTGGGATGCCAATTATTTACTAGCCCTATTCAAGAAACCGTAGTGGTGTGGTGTTTAAGAGCTTGGCTGCTAACCAAAAGATCCTAATATTTAAAGTCTTGGAAACCTTATGAGGCACTGTGTCCTATAGGGTTACTATGAGTCATAATCTGCTGAATAGCAATGGATTTGGTTTTGTTAGTGTCTCTGAGTGGTGGAAACAGCTGAGCTCTCAACTAACTGAAAGACTGGCGATCTGAATCCACCCAGAGTTGTCTTGGGAGACATGCCTTGTGATCTGCTTCCGAAAGTTCACAGCTTGAAAATGGAGCAGTTCTGCTGTGCATAGGGTGCAGTGATTAGGAATTTACCCTATGGCAACTGGGCTACAGGCACGGGCTCCTCTGTTTATCTTGTGAATCCAGCTTTCTTGAGGGACATCCCAAGTAGATGAACAACTTTATCACATCCTTTATTTCCCTAAAACAAACATGACCCTCCAACACAGCAGTGTGAAGTTGGCACAGCCTTGTCAACTGGGATCCCTGAGGAGAGAAAAACAGCAAGGCCCTGCCCCCCTGGCAACTCTGCCTCTGCCTACCCAGGGGACAAGATGACTGGGCCCCAGAAATGCTCCTCTCCCAGGCCCTCACTTGTCTTTCCTACTGGGAACCTGACTGCTCAGGGTGATGGAGCAGGGAGCCTCTGGAAAGCAGCCCAGACCCCAGTCCCCTGTGGCTCTCAGCTGTGCCACTCTGCTGGAGGCCAGGGTGGTGCCCTGGGAGGCTGTTATTAGCAGCCATGGAGCTGATTCCGACTCACAGCTACCTATGTGTGTGGCGTGGAGCAGCTCCCTAGGCTTTGCCTGTTCATCCACCGCTTTACGTTCAAGAGGGTTCCCACATCACCTTCTCAGACAGAGGTGTATCCTCAAATACCTTTCCTGATGGTTGTTGTTTTTAGAGAGGGGAAGTAAAGGCTGCCTTAGGCTCTGCCAGCAATACTCTCTTGGGTGCCTATTTTCCCATTCTCAAAAATCTTTTTCTGTCTGAAATGGCTTCCTTAGTTCTAACCTAAATCTCTCCTCTTGTCCTTTGAAATAATGCTCTTGGTTCTATGCAGTAGAGATGAGAATGGATGTAGAGTAGATCTCTGCCCTCCCCATCCCCCAGGGGAATGGTTTTTCACTCTGGCTTCAATACGAGGAAGTCCTACTGCAACACTTTCCTCCCAGCAGATTCCAGTCAGCCGCTTTTCCTTGAACTTTGTGTGAGGTTCGGTTGAGTGCCCCCTTCCTCTGATTCTGACCCTCCCCAGCTGTTGCCTTTTTTGTTTTTAGGACAAAGCTTGCCCCATCCTGCCTGTGGGGACTCCATCAAACAGTCCAGTCAACAGCTGCAAGTGCCAAAACCCTGGCTAATTTCTACAGTGCGTAAACAACTTGATGAATGCCAACTGGCATTAATGGCCACATTAGGATCTTCCCTCCTTCCCTTAAAGAGTCACCGCCCTGGGGCCCAGCACAGGGGCCTAAATGTATGAAAGGCACTGGGAATGATTCTGCCTATTTCTCACGCCCCCCCTCCTGCCCCCACCCCTTCCCACGGGAACATGCCTAGAATGTTCATGTGTATGAGTGTGGTGTGTAAACGTGTAAGCATGTATGTGTTAGTGGAGGATGCTGGTAATCAAGGACTGTGTACTGTCTGAAAGACTTTGCTCCTTTTCTTTTCAATATAAGCAGTGGAATTTCTTGGCATTCTCAGTAGTGTGTGTGTGTGTCTGTGTGTGTGTGTATATGTGTAACAGAAATGGGAGAGGTATCTGTGCTGAAAGAGGAGGCCCAAAAGTCACAGTACGAAAACTTCTGCTCTGATCATCTCCTAAAGATACTGGAACTTGGAACCAGGACACCTGGGTAGGTTGGGCCTCAACCTAGCATGACTTTGGGCAGATTGTTTATTCTCTCTTACTTAGTGTGTGAGCCGGTCGATGGAAAGTGACCTTGTGTTTAAACAAGTGCCAGAATTTACGTATTAATGTGAGAGAAAAGTTCTAGGTGATTCCCAAGAACATTTTAATATTTATATTCTTACAGCTGGAGCCTGGAATACAGTGTAGGAGTAGATGGGATTTTAGGTCGAGGGTAGCTTACCCTGATTCCCAGGAAGCGTGAGTCCTTGTGTCTAACTCACCCCAGTTTGCCCATTTTTAGCTCTGAAAAGTCCCACATCCCCTCAGTCATGGGAAAATCAGGATGATTGGTCACCCTAACTGGTTCTCATACTCAGGCAGACCAAGAAGAGGAAGTGAGGGGACCTTTTTAAGGGGTCTTTAAAAGGGGAGATCTTTTAACTGCCTTCATTGATCACCCATCCCTTCCTCCCCTTTGTTCTCTCATTCACTCTACTCTTGTCTCCTTTCAGGTCTCTCTGGGAACCCTGTGGATCTGGAGAAACGTCGGCAAATGTTTGGTCAGAACTTGATTCCCCCCAAAAGGTCCAAGACTTTCTTAGAGTTAGTGTGGGAAGCGCTTCAAGACGTCACCCTGATCATCCTGGAGATCGCAGCTATCATTTCCCTGGTCTTGTCCTTCTACCGCCCCCCTGGGGGTCAAAACGAGCGTGAGTGTCTTCAGCAGTCTGCATGACTCCCAGTAGTGTGTTTTCCACCACTGGAAGTACTTGGTATTGGTGGGTGCTAGCGTTAGCTTAGAACTTTTCTCCCATTATCTAGGGTGAGTTCACCAAAGGAAACCAACTAATAACTATTAACTATAAAACTGTATTTCAGAAACTTCCCCCCTTCTCCTACCAAAGCCTTATCCAGGAAGCCTCCACTCACACCAGCTGACATTGTGGGACACAGGAGCAGGCACTTGACCACGTTTGGGAATCCTAAATTCTTTACGTGTGACTTGCCTCTTAATTTGCATTTACATATTTTGTTCTTTTTTAGCCATTTGCTTTAGGGGATGTTGGAAACATTGCCCCCATTTCTCAGTGTCAGCAAAAGCCCCCAGGTGACCCTTTTTTTTTTTTTTTTTTTTTCCATCCCTTCCCTGGGATAGAGTGTGGTCACGTTGTGAGTACCACAGATGATGAAGGGGAGGCAGAAGCCGGCTGGATCGAGGGGGCAGCCATCCTCTTCTCAGTGCTCATCGTGGTGCTTGTGACCGCCTTCAATGACTGGAGCAAAGAGAAGCAATTCCGAGGGCTGCAGAGCCGCATTGAGCAGGAGCAGAAATTCTCCATTATCCGAAACAGCCAGATCATCCAGCTGCCTGTGGCTGAGATTGTGGTGGGCGATATCGCCCAAATCAAATATGGTAAGCACTTTGTTTCTTGTATCTATACCACCTTCCTTATTCTGAGGGTAAGTCCTTTGAAAGGAGCACTGTCTCTTGGGATGGCTGGAACCTACCAGCACCTCCCGAGAGAAAAAGATACGACAGTCAGCTTCCATATCATTTCACAGCCTTGGAAACCATGTGGGGCAGTCCTGCTCTGGCCTACAGAGTCACTGTGAGTCCGAAACAACTCGATGACAGTGGGTTTGGGTTTGGTCTTTTGGACTGAGGGGCCTAAGAATTGCTAAGGAACCAAAAAGATAAGTCCTCAGATTGTGTCAGTTTCAAGGTTTGTGCTAGAGAAGATTGTAGGAAATAATTCTAAGAAAGAATAACATTCCCAGAAGATGGTCAAACTTGTACCCCAGGTGCTTTAGAGTTAAAAGTATTTAATATTCAGGTCAGGGGATGCTGTTTGGGGAATAATAATAGCTTGAATTTATACTAGCTGGAAAGGCATGTCATTCCAGGTAGTACAGGGCTGAAGTTGTCATGTAAGGCTCTCCAGATACTCCCTGAGTCATTGTCCTATAGGTAGCACAAAGGGAAGCAACCTTGAGATAATGTTGGAGGAGTCAGATGTCCCCAGCCCTCGCCAGGCCTTAACCCTTCTCCTCCTCTCTGTGTACTAGGTGACCTACTACCTGCAGACGGAATCCTGATCCAGGGCAATGACCTGAAGATTGATGAGAGCTCTCTGACTGGGGAGTCAGACCATGTCAAGAAGTCCTTGGATAAAGACCCCATGCTGCTCTCAGGTACAGCCTCTGACTTCCCAAGTTCCCATTCTATAGCCAAGGCACCGGGTCCAGCTCCTGACCCTGCCTTCTCATCTGGCTCTGTCCTGTCTTCTTCCCCTGACGTCAACATGGACAAAAGCTTTGGTGGGTTGAATACAACTTAAAAGAGGCAGATTCTTCAAGGGGCCTCAGAGGAGTTTCTAGCCAGAGAGGAAAGTCCTTACTCTGAAGCAGTTAGACACATTTTTCTCCTTACCCTGCATTGCTTGGTCTATTTTAAATGGACCTAGCTCTTTACCTTTTTCTGCTATCTTCTGAGTAAATCATTATCTACAGGGAAGGAGGAAAGAACTGATGTTTTTCCCCTTAGGTTTATGTTTCATATCAAATCATGGCTCAGTATAAAAACCAATGCTCCTTCTCATTTTCTCCATTTCTGTATAGGAACCCATGTCATGGAAGGTTCTGGCAGAATGGTAGTGACTGCTGTTGGTGTCAACTCACAGACCGGAATCATATTTACCCTCCTGGGGGCCAGTGAGGGAGACGGGATGGAGAAGAAGAAGAAAGGTAAGAGACACTCAGGATGAGAATCTCTTGTCTCTCATCCCCGTGGACAAACTAGGAAACAAGGAAAGCAGATCTGGATGACATACCTGGTTGGAAGAATCTGCTGGAGAAAAGGAAGCAGATACCCAAACCATTTGCCAAGATTTAAAAAAAAAAAAACCATGAACCCTGACTCCCCCCAGGGTGTTTTGATGAAAACCAGATCCTGGCTCTAGACTCCCAAATGAAGTTGCCTGTCAGCCTCAATCCCTATGTCTCTTGGTGGATTATAAAGGAACACGGTATAAACCCTTCCCAAAATGAGCTGCCTAGGGACTCTGGCCCCAGATGCCCTCTTCCTGTCACTTCCTTCCTCAAATATGGGGGATCAAATGAACAATCAAGGCCACAGGAAGAATGGTCATGAGAAAAACTAAGCTATCTGCCAAAAGGACGGGCTGCCAGTGGAAAAGACATGAGCTAGGAAAATGGGAACCAAGAGGTAACGTCTACCCTGAAGTTACTCGTTACTGGTGGAAGGAAACAAAGAGAGCAAATAAGAAGACACTAAAACCAAATCTACACCTTTCCCTAAGCAGCACTTATAAGGGAGAGAAGGTCTTCCACCACTTGGCTGGAGGATTGTCTTAAGGTATGAGTTGGCTTAGCGAGGGCAGTTTGTGAAAAGGAAGCAAAGCCCATGCTCAGGGAGGAAACTAGATGGTTCATTTCTGTGGCTCCCAGCAGATGAATAAGGAGAAAGCTAGTGTACGCCTGGTGCGTGCTGTTGAATGCACATGTGGAGACTCTGGGCCAGGCAGAAACAGTTGAAACATTTCACTCCCAACCCCTCTGCCAGGAGCACCCCATCAGCAGCCAGAGGAAATGGCCAGGGGCGGGTGTCCCCACCTGCGCACTCACCTGTCTGAGTGCCCCCAGCAACAGTGAATGTAAGCACATGGTGTGAGCTTCCTTTCCGTTTCCCGAGCCCCTCCCCGCAGCCCAGCCCCTTTGCTGCTGCTCTTCTGGGCTCTGAGCAGGACCAACAAATTGGATATCTGATCTCTATAAGAGTCACTTTGGGTCTCCACCCCACGTTTCTCTTTCTTGTTCAAACAGGTAAAAAACAAGGAGTCCCTGAAAATCGCAACAAAGGTAACCTCTCCACCCACTCCTTTGCCATCTCTACCTACCTGCCCACCTCAAACCAGACCTTTCTAGGCCATCTGCCTTCTCCCTTCTCCTCACCATAAATCTGTTATCTGCTGCTGTGGCCCAGCCGCGTCATCCTGAGGAAGGTGCAGAGATTTGGGGGTGGTCTCTAGGTCCCAATCCCAATTTAAGATGGGACAACAGCACCCTCTGCTGTTGGTTTCTAGAACGTCAAGTCAAGGCTTCTCTTGGAGTGTGTATCGGATGGATCTGTTGTTCCCAGGGTGCTAAGCTGTGTATTTCATTGCCTGGGGTCTCGGGTAAACACCTGTGGTCCAGAACCTGAGCCCATCAGTTTCTGGGTTGGAAGACCTCAGCTCCTTGTGGTGGAGGGAGTTGGGGTGGGCTGTCCCTGCACCCTCCTCTTGCTAGCTTCCTCATCGGTGTCCTCTTCCAGTCTGGTTTCCTTCTCTGCTAGTCTTCTCGGGTGCTGGAGAGAGCCCTTCTCTGTACTTCGCCCCCCATCTCTTTCTTTGTTCTCTCCACAGTCTGTTTCCTTCCTCCTGATCTGATATGTGTTTCTTTCTGGTGGCTGTGTTTACATCCCGTCTCTGTCTTGTTTGTGAGTCTTACAGCAGAGACAGTCTCTCAGGAAAGACACCCTAAGCAAAGGGCCTGAGCTCTACAGGGGTGAAGTTGGAAGGGTGCCGGGAACCAGCAAGAATTGCTCTTTTGAGACAGTTCCCAGAGATTTTTTTTTTTTTCCTTTCTGACCTACATCGTGGTTCGACACCGGATAACCGGGCCAAACAGAAATAATTCTTTAATTTTAGGTCTCTAACTCTTCTTGTAAAAAACAAAATGGATTTATCCGTCTCTATCCCTGCTTTCTCTTATTCCAGCTTCTTCCCTCTCCTTCAAAAGGCCTAGCCCTAGGTCCCACAGTATACCTCCCTACCTTCCTCAGACTGGGGAAGGAGGGGGTTTCCTGCCCTGCCAGCTGATTTAAGAAGTAGCTGGAAATGCTGTGTCTAGGTGGGACGGTCTTTGTTTCTTGCCTGCCAGCTTTTGTATGCAAATAAACGAACCTTTTCATAAAGCAAACCAAGACCCTTATATTCTTGAAACATCTGGCAACTTTCCCCTGAGGCCCCTTTCAGCAGTAGAATCACTGTTTTGAGTACTGAATTCCAGGAAGGAGGGTTGTTGGTAATATCATTTAGTGGCATGACTAATCTCCTTGCTGGAATAAAACTGATGTGGGACTCTGAGGTGGTGCCAGGAAGCTGCCACTGAAGAGGAAATCCATACCCCCAAAGCATCCCATTCTGTCTCCAGCTACTAGTGTATCAAGCCAAAGGCCCTACCTAATAGAGGGTTGCAGGCAAGTTCCATGTCTGTCATGGGGTGGGAATGGTCAAAACTCATGTCAGGGCCCAAGATGTGTTCCAGGAAGAAGACAGAAGGGATTTTTGGTTTCCACCTGCCTGGCCCCCAATGCTTCCACCCTGCCTGCTCACCTTTTCTGTCTGTGTGTACACCCCAGCAAAGACCCAGGATGGAGTGGCCCTGGAGATCCAACCACTCAACAGCCAAGAAGGGATCGACAGTGAGGAAAAGGAGAAAAAGGCCACAAAGACACCCAAAAAGGAGAAATCAGTGCTTCAGGGCAAGCTGACTCGCTTGGCTGTCCAGATCGGGAAAGCTGGTGAGTGTGTGTGTGTATGTGTAACAGAAATGGGAGAGGTATCTGTGCTGAAAGAGGAGGCCCAAAAGTCACAGTACGAAAACTTCTGCTCTGATCATCTCCTAAAGATACTGGAACTTGGAACCAGGACACCTGGGTAGGTTGGGCCTCAACCTAGCATGACTTTGGGCAGATTGTTTATTCTCTCTTACTTAGTGTGTGAGCCGGTCGATGGAAAGTGACCTTGTGTTTAAACAAGTGCCAGAATTTACGTATTAATGTGAGAGAAAAGTTCTAGGTGATTCCCAAGAACATTTTAATATTTATATTCTTACAGCTGGAGCCTGGAATACAGTGTAGGAGTAGATGGGATTTTAGGTCGAGGGTAGCTTACCCTGATTCCCAGGAAGCGTGAGTCCTTGTGTCTAACTCACCCCAGTTTGCCCATTTTTAGCTCTGAAAAGTCCCACATCCCCTCAGTCATGGGAAAATCAGGATGATTGGTCACCCTAACTGGTTCTCATACTCAGGCAGACCAAGAAAAGGAAGTGAGGGGACCTTTTTAAGGGGTCTTTAAAAGGGGGGATCTTTTAACTGCCTTCATTGATCACCCATCCCTTCCTCCCCTTTGTTCTCTCATTCACTCTACTCTTGTCTCCTTTCAGGTCTCTCTGGGAACCCTGTGGATCTGGAGAAACGTCGGCAAATGTTTGGTCAGAACTTGATTCCCCCCAAAAGGTCCAAGACTTTCTTAGAGTTAGTGTGGGAAGCGCTTCAAGACGTCACCCTGATCATCCTGGAGATCGCAGCTATCATTTCCCTGGTCTTGTCCTTCTACCGCCCCCCTGGGGGTCAAAACGAGCGTGAGTGTCTTCAGCAGTCTGCATGACTCCCAGTAGTGTGTTTTCCACCACTGGAAGTACTTGGTATTGGTGGGTGCTAGCGTTAGCTTAGAACTTTTCTCCCATTATCTAGGGTGAGTTCACCAAAGGAAACCAACTAATAACTATTAACTATAAAACTGTATTTCAGAAACTTCCCCCCTTCTCCTACCAAAGCCTTATCCAGGAAGCCTCCACTCACACCAGCTGACATTGTGGGACACAGGAGCAGGCACTTGACCACGTTTGGGAATCCTAAATTCTTTACGTGTGACTTGCCTCTTAATTTGCATTTACATATTTTGTTCTTTTTTAGCCATTTGCTTTAGGGGATGTTGGAAACATTGCCCCCATTTCTCAGTGTCAGCAAAAGCCCCCAGGTGACCCTTTTTTTTTTTTTTTTT